CACATGGGATGGGGTTTGGGAGGTAGGCTGGCATGGATACTAAATATCCTGTCCTGCATTCAGCAGTCTGATACAAGAAATAATTGTTTGCTCAATATGATATCACTTTGGTTGAGAAATGCTGACTCAGTGCAGTAAGAGAAAAAATTTGAGGTATGAGGATTAGAAATAAGCAAAACTATATTTGCAGACAATTTATTCATTTAGAAAATCAAATGAAATTACAAATTATCAGAACTAAGAACCTGAGTTCAAGATAGGTGATTGTGGAATTGACATGCAAAGATCAGTAGCTTTCCTATATGAGCAATATATGATTAGAAATATTTGAAAATATCATATTCCTTTTTTTTAAGATTTTATTTATTCATTTGTCAGAGAGAGAGAGTACAAGCAGGGGGAATGGCAGGCAGAGGGAGAAGCAGGCTCCCTGCTGAGCAAGGAGCCCAATGCAGGACCTGATCCCAGGACCCTGGGATCATGACCTGAATCGAAGGCAGACATGTAAATGACTGAGCCACCCAGGTGTCCCTGAAAATATCATATTCTTAAAGCAACAAATAACCTAAGAAAGTCACTTAACAAAAACATGTGCACAGAATTATGGAGAAAAATATAAAGTGTTCCTTAAGCATGTGAACAAAGATTTGATAAAAAGAGGAGCATATGGGAGGCTCAGTCGGTTAAGCGTCTGCCTTCGGCTCGGGTCATGGTCTCAGGTTCCTGGGATCAAACTCTACATTGGGCTTCTTGCTCAGCGGGGAGTCTGCTTTTCTCTCTCTCTCGCTTCTGCCCCTCCTCCCTGCTCGTTCTCTCTGTCTCTCTCAAATTAATAAAATCCTAAAAAAAAGAGAAAGAAGCATACCATGTTTATAAATGGGAAGACTCCTGCTTGAATAGATATTATTTCTCCCCTAAACATTTTATACCTTCAAGCAATTCTAATCCAAATCCCTATTCCCAGTATAACCGTGTCTTTGTAAATCAGTATCTTTCCTCTTCTCTTCCCAGAAATCACACAAAAGCAACAAGCACAAAACAACTCCCACAAATTACACTTTCAGTGAAACTAAAAAAAAAAAAAAAATCTGTGAACTACTACTAAGTATTTGTTGGGACTACAAAAAGCAACTGAGATTAGGCAGAAACAATGTGGGAGGAAGTAAGGAAGCATGGGCTATGGGAGAGCATCAGGGGAATCTCAGAAGGCTTGGGTAAAATATACTTCTGGGAGGCAAGTTTGGCAATATCCAGAAAAATTAAAAGTGATTATATTTTATGATCTAGCTGCTAGACTTTAGATCCTTCTAAGGATGCTAGAGAAATTCGCATATGGAATAATGAGACCAGTACAAGGATGTTTGTTGCAGCATTACTATGTGTAATCAAAAAATTGAAGCAATCTAAAACAATAATTTTTAGAAGATAGCTTAAATTGTGGTAGAGTCCTACAATGGAAGAATGAAATTAGATCTCTGTGTATCAGTGTGACTAGTGTCCTCAAAACAAAATTGAGTAAAAAAGCAAGTTGCAGAATGATACTTACAGTAAAATCTCATGTATGTAAAAATCAAAGACAATGTTATATTTTTACTTATGTACAGTTAATTTTTCCCAGCTTTATTGAGATATAATAGACATGTAAGTTTAAGGCATACCATGTGATGATTTTATATACATATATTTTGCAAAATGATTACCACAATAATATTAGTTAATACACCCATCACCTCACATAGTACCATTTATTTTGGTATGTGTGGTGAGAACATTTAAGATCTACTCTCTTGTCCACTTTCAAGTACACAGTACCGTATTGTTAACTATAGTCATTATGCTGTATATTAGATATCCAGAACTTATTCATCATATAACTGAAAATTTGTACCCTTTGACCACTTTCACCCATTTCTCCCACCCCTTGCCCCTGGCAACAATCAGTCTACTCTCTGTTTCTATGAATTCAGCTTTTTTAGATTCCAGACATACGTGAAATCATACAATATTTGTCTTTTTATGTCTGACTTATTTTACTTAGCATAATGCCATCAAGTTTCATTCATGTTGTCACAAAAGGCAGGATTTCCTTTTTGTATGGCTGAATTTTGTATATTTTATATTGCATATAAAATGAAATTTATCACATTTTAATTATATTCAATATATGTCAATTATATTTAATATGTTATATAGGAATTATATACATTTATATCATTTTTTTATACATTCATGTGTTGATGAACACTTAAGTTGTTTCCATGTCTTAGCTACTGTAAATAATGCTGCAGTGAACATGGGGGGGTACAGATATCTCTTTGAGATAGTAATTTCATTTCCTTCAGATATATTCCCAGAAGTGGAATTGCTGAATCATATGATACCTCTATTTTTATTTTTATTTTATTATTTATTTTTTTAACAAAATTCACATTTATTTAGGTTGAAATAAACTATACAAAATTGATTTTCTTCACCAAAAATAACAGCAATATTTTCTGTGTAGTGTAGTATATTTCTTGTGTAGTATTCCTAGATAAACCACAAAACACTTATTTTTGTAGGTTTTCCAGGTTTTGTTTATAAATCAAGACGAGACAGTAGATATAGTCATGGAAAAAGACAGAGGAAAATAGACAAATCAGTTGTCAGTATCCATGGCCTCTGATCCTGTCTTGACCATGAACAGAGGTGTTCAGCATATACCTGCTAAAAAGCTTATGAAGACGTAGGTGTTCTACATACACTTGCTAAAGAGCTGATACCTCTATTTTTAATTTTTTGAGGAACCTCCATACTATTTTTCATAGTGGCTGTAGCAATTACATTCCTGCCAACAGTGTACTAGAGTTCCCTTTTCTCTATATCTTTGTCAGCATTTATTATCTCTTGTCTTTTTGAAAACAAGTATCCTAACGGGTGTGAAGTAATATCTCATTGTGTTTTTCTTTTGTAGTTCTCTGATGATTAGTGATGTTGGGTACCTTCTATGTACCTGCTGGCCATTTGTATATCTTCTTTGGGAAAATGTCTATTCAGGTCCTTTGTCCATTTTTTAATTGCATTATTTTGGTTTTTGCTATTGATTTGTAGGAGTTCCTAATATATTTAGGATATTAACCCCTTATCAGATATATGGTTTGAAAATATTTTCTTCCATTCCTAGGTTGCCATTTCATTTTGTTGCTCATTTCTTTTGCTGTGCAGAAGCTTTTTAGTTTGATGTCCCATTTGATTTATTTTTGCTTTGTTGTTTGTGCTTTTGGTGCCATATACAAAAAATCATTGCCAAGACGAGTATCAAGAAGATTTTCCCCTGTGTTTTCTTCTAGGAGTTTTACATTTAAGTATTTAATCCATTTGAAGTTAATTTTTATGATTGGTGTAAGTTAGGGATTCAGTTTCACTCTTCTACATGCAAATATCCAATTTTTCCAGCCCCACTTATTGAAGAAAGTATCTTTCCCCCATTGAGTATTCTTGGCTCCCTTGTCAAATATTAGTTGACTATATCTGGGTTTATTTCTGGGCTCTTGATTTTGTTTCATTGGTCTATCTGTTTGTTTTTATGCCAATACTATTTTGTTTTGATGACTGTAGCTTTGTAATATAGTTTGAAGCCAGGAAGTGTGATGCCTTCAGCTTTGTTCTTCTTTCTCAAATTGCTTTGGCTCTTCGGGTTTTTTTTTTTTTTTTTTAATGGTGCCATATGAATTTTACAATTGTTTTTTCTATTTCTGTAAAAAATGTCATTGGGATCTTACTAGAGATTGTATTGAATCTGTGGATGACCTTGTGTAGTATGTATATTTTAACAAATTAATTCTTCCAATCCATGAACATGGAATATTTTTCCATTTAATTTTGTCATCTTCAGTTTCTTTCATCAGTATTTTATAGTTTTTAGTGTATAGATCTTTTACCTCCTTGGTTAAATTTATTCCTATTATTATTATTATTTTAAGGTTTTATTTATTTATTTGAGAGAGAGAGAGAGAGAGCATGAGCCGGGTGGGGAGGGGTAGGAGGAGAGGGAGAAGCAGACTCTCCACTGAGTAAGGAGCCCAAGGGAGGGGCTCGATCCCAGAACCCTGGGATCATGACCTGAGCCGAAGGCAGATGCTTAACTGACTGAGCCACCCAGGTGCCCCCCTATTTTATTATTTTTGATTCTATTATAAATGGGATTATTTTCTTTGTTTTTTAGGTAGTTCATTGTTAATATATAAAAACGCAACTGGTTCTTGTATGTTGATTTTATATCCTGCAACTTTATTGAATTCATTTGTTAGTTCTAACCATTTTTGATAGTCTTTATAGTTTTTTATATATAAGATCATGTTATCTGCAAACAGAAACCATTTTACCTCTTCCTTTTCAATTTGGTTGACTTTTATTTCTTCTTTGCCTGATTGCTGTGGGTAGGACTTCTAGTACTATGTTGAATAGGAGTGATAAGAGTAGGCTCTTGTTTTGTTCCTGATCTTAGAGGAAAAGCTTTCAACCTCACTGTTGAGTATGATGTTAGCTGTGGGCTTGTCTATATAGTTTATTTTTGTTTCATTTCTCTAATAGAGAGGGAGTATAGAGTAGTAATAAGACCACAAGGGTCAGATTGCAATGTTCAAATCCTGATATCTACCACTTACCAGCTGTGACCTTCTGTAAGTTATTTTGATATTTCCTTGCATTTCAAAATATTGATTTGCCTAATATAGGACATTCCAAGGTATGATTATTCAGTAGTCATGTGATATTCTTCAAATACTGTCTAGCATCTTATGTGCAACTAAAATGTCTTCTGGCTGAATAACTAACAAGAGGCAGTACAGGGTACAGATAACAAGCCGTGAGGCACATCAGGAGGATGTTTGCTAATATCATTTCGTCTTGTCATAACCCTTGAAGTTCAAGAGGACAGGGACTGAAAGGGAATAAATTAAATACTGAAAGGTACATGAGTTTGTCCATATGTTTCTAAAGTGCTTTGCTTCATCCTCCAGGTCGAGGGCTCCCGGCAGGACAAGCTGAGGTTGAGATGATAGAACATGCCCGGGAGAAGCGTGCTTGGGAAGCCACTCTCCCCTGTCTGAGGGACACCTCCCAGTTTGAGAAGAGGAGGAGGATGATGAATGCGATGGAGAGGAAGGAGTGGGCCTTCAGAGAGCAGGAGATTGAAAGGTAAGTTCTAGATTACCCAGACAGCTGCACCTGTGCTGGTGGAGTAATGTAAATACTTCTTATCTGTAAAGCATTTTCCCAAATGTATGGGTTTAAAAGCAGCCTTCTACCTATAGAGATAGAAAGTTGGGTTTCTGGTTCTTTTGGGAATAATAGCTCTATAATTTTCTCTCTAACAATATAAAAATGTATAATGCCCTCTTTGTGTGTAAAGTTAAGCATGGAACCCAGATTTGAAGAATTCCTCAAAACATCTGTGATTCTTCTCTTCCCTTTTCTCTTTAAAGAAATTCTAGACTATCACAGAATCCCACTGAAATGCCTTTTTTTTTTTTAAAGATTTTTAAAATTTATTTGACAGAGAGAGAGAGCACAAGCAGAGGGAGCTGCAGAGGGAGAGGGAGAAGCAGGTTCCCCACTGAGCAGGGAGCCCAATGTGGGGCTCGATCTCAGGACTCTGGGACCATGACCTGAGCTGAAGGCAGACGCTTAACTGATTGAGCTACCCAGGCACCCCTGAAATCTTTCTTTTTTAAAAATTTTTAAACTATAGTTCATTAACATACACTGCAATATTGGTTTCAGGATTAGAATTCAGGGGTTCATCACTTACATAGAATACCCAGTGCTCATCACAAGTGTCCTCCTTAATCCCCATCATCCATCTAGCCCATCCCCTGCCCACCTCCCTGCATCAACCCTCAGTTTGTTCTCCATTGGTAAGAGTCTCTTATGGTTTGCTTCCCTCTCCTTTTTCTTTCCCTTTCCATATGTTCATCTGTTTTGTTTCTTAAATTCTACATATGAGTGAAATAATATGGTATTTGCCTTTCTCTGACTGACTTATTTCGCTCAACATAATATACTCTAGCTCCATCCACTTTGTTACAAATGGCAACATTTCATTATTTTTTCATGGCTGAGTAATATTCCTGTGTGTGTGTGTATGTGTGTGTGCCATATCTTCTTTATCCATTCACCAGTCTTTCAAACTGACCCCTTCTGTTTATTCCCAGTGCCACTCTCCCTGGGCCTAGGCCCGCTGCATATCCATCAGCCTCCTAGCTAATCCTCTTATTCCTCCTGGTATTGGATTCACTGTCAGGACACCTTGGGTTCTAGCTACAGCTAATGGGGCATTTTCTATTTAAAAGACAAATTGTGGAAGTCCTCAATTAAGAGATGAGCTCACAGTGCATAAATAACAATATGCTGAGGTACTTCTGGTTTTCAAGCATTTAACTAATGTATTTTCAGTAATGAGGCTGTCCTTGGAATGTGTGGAAAGGATGAAAACCTCAAAATTATAACTCCCTAGCAATAAAGAAAGGAAAGGAAAGGGGCACCTGGGTGGCTCAGTCGTTGGGCATGTGCCTTCGGCTCAGGTCATGATCCCAGAGTCCTGGGATCGAGCCCCGCATCGGGCTCCCTGCTCAGGGAGCCTGCTTCTCCCTCTACCTGCCACTCCCCCTGCTTGTGTTCCCTTTCTCGCTGTGTCTCTCTCTGTCAAATAAATAAATAAAATCTTTAAAAAAAAAAAAGGGGAGGAAACTTGATGAGGTTGTCCTTTGTCCTAGGCTGAGCTGAGGCACTTCACTGCTCATAGCAATGCCACCACAGCCCCTGACAGTGTGCTTACACAAAAGAAAGAACCAAGACAGTTAGAGACTCAGTGTGGTTCTGAATTCAAAATATGTTTATCTTTTTACAGCACCTTCTATTAACCCTGAATCCAGACTGTGTGATGTTTTGGTAAAAGCTTGCAATTAAAGAATGCAAAGTAGGTATCGGGTGCCCAATCCCGTCTGTAGAACATTAAATTTATTGCTGCAATTTGGAGAGATATATTCTTATCAGAAGGGCATTAAAAACATTTAAAATGTTTCTGGCTAGTTCTGTTTGGGGTGGGTGGAGATTTGGGAAAATTATTGCAAGAAGGTTGCCTCTGAGCTGGGTGTTGAAGGGTGAGTAAGAAGCCATCAGGTAGATAATATTAGTGATGATGATGATGATATTCACAGAGCATGTTAAATTGCAGAGTGCTTACTATGTGCTGGAGCCATGTTCTAAGCCACTAGTTCTCAAATTGTGGTCCATAAACCAGCAGCATCAGCATTACCTGGGAATTTGTTAGAAATCCAGATTTTCGGGCACCATCCCAGACCTGAGTCGGGTGGTCAACTCCAGATTATCTGATGCATGCTCAACTGTTGTACCATGTTGTATACATTAACTCATCTAATGCTCATGACAACCTTATGGGATAGATATGATTATGTCCATTTTATGACTGAAGGAATTGAGGTAAGTGATGAATTTGAGAATGAACCTAGGATTTCTAAGTCCAGAGAGAAAGGTGACTATTGGTTTGTGGCTTATTTTTAAAAACACCTGTTTCTCCATATTCACTTTTCACTACTTCCCCACCCTCCCCAGTATGTTTGCTTTGAGAAGTTCCACCAGTATGACATGTCAGTTCTGTCTCTAGTCTTTTGAGTTGAACCTTCCTCTGCTGAGGCCTCACTTTTCCCTTGTCTATGTGGCAAATCTCAATCCTTGTTTATCCTCAAGACTACAGAGTTGGGCGCCTGGGTGGCTCAGTTGGTTAAGCGACTGCCTTCAGCTCAGGTCATGATCCTAGAGTCCCGGGATCGAGTCCCACATCGGGCTCCCAGCTCAGCAGGGAGTCTGCTTCTCCCTCTGACCCTCTTCCCTCTCGTGCTATCTGTCTCTCATTCTCTCTCTTTCAAATAAATAAATAAAATCTTAAAAAAAAAAAAAAGATTACAGAGTTAATGGCTCCTGTAAAGAAGCCTTCCCCACCTTCCTGAATCCACTGGGAATAGTGCTAGACATAGATGCTCTGTCATTTCTTCTCCCACAGTCTTCATTCTTCTGACCTGGTATTTATCTCGTCTTGTAAAATGCTAGTTGATATGCCTGCTCCAATAGAACAGTGCTTCTTGAGAGAAGGTGTTTTATCTTGTTCGTCATTGTTTGTTTCCTACCTGGCATTTGGTGAGCACGTAATAAATATTTGACAAATAAGTAGCTGAATAAATTACTCTATGAATTTTTAAGTAAGATTAAAATGTTCAATTGTCTATTTTAGGAAGGGAAATCTTGACAGCTGTGTGGAGCAAGATTGGAAGGAGAGACTAGATTAGCAACTAGAGTCCAAGTTAGGAGAGGGATGATAAAAACATGAGCTAGGGAATGGATGCAAGAAGTGTTTTAGAGGAGGAATTGTTAGGGGAGGGAAGAAGATGTAAGAAAGGGTAGATTTCTGGGGGAACAAAATGAGTGGGGTATTTTTCTTGAAGTTGTCAAGGGATAGCTAGAATTTCAAGTAGACAGGAATTCTGGTTCAGAAATACCTGGGCCAGAGGTACAGATTTTGAAGTCATGTGTACATCGTTGTATACACATGAGCAAGGTAGCTAGCTCTAGGAGAACAAGCTAAAGGTAAGCGGAAGGGAAACGAAGACTGATTGGATGTCTGTATGCACCAGACACTGGCATTTTCACATTTATTCCTTAAAATATCATGCAGCCTCATTTTCTCTTCACTCATATTACTTAACTCCCCAGCCAATACCTGTGGGCCTGGAACCATGCACAAACATCTTGTTGTTCATTTAGGCCCATCTGCCTGGAGAGCCCTTTTATTTACCTGGCATACTCTTCTTTGCCTTTCAGAACTATGCCCATACATACTCCTTTTGTAGAGAGACTCACTATTGGGTTGCCTCCCCCAAACACCCAATCCACTTGTCACACTTTTGCCAGAGCAGTCTTTTTAAGTACATGAATATGATACCAGCCCCAAAAGAGGATCCTGTTTATGGCAGGTGTTTCCCTTCTCCCTAGTAGAACACTCTGGGATACCAAATAGGTCTTTATGTTTGGTGATTCACTTAAAGACTGCAGGAGATTCGCCTGGAAATTCTAAAAAAGCTGCTGAGAAAGCGTGATGAGAATCAAAACGAAGTGAACATGAAGCACCTGAATGTCCGATGGTGTCAATTACAAGAAGAAAAGGAGGCAAAATTGGCACGGATTCAGCACACACATGTATCAGGTAATGGTGTAATATGAACAGTGAAGAGAATGGGAGGGTTGGCTTTGCTTTGAATCTTTGATCAAACCTGATTTAGATATAATTCTCTTGAGTAAAGGAGATGAATTATTTCTCAAAAGTAGAAGAGTGGAAGAAAATTCCTCACTAAGAAAGCCAAGTAATGATGTTTTAACAGGTAGTCAAGTTATTGACATTATGGGGTGAGTGTGTGTTTGTGTGTGGGGCGGGGTAAGTGTAAGGGGTTGGGCTTCCCATATTCATAGGTTGAAGTCCTGGATGGAGAGCCCTATTTGTCAACCTTTTTTTTTTTATTATTGCTCTTAAATGAGACATTTAGACATCTTTTCTCCTGCTCACCCCCTTCCATGAAATAAGACCATGGATATACTGTTTATCTGTTTATGTACTCTATCTCTACACATAAAAAGATCAGTCAGTGTATGATTAAGAATGACTATATAAAAATTTTGAATTAAAATTAAAAAAGGGGCATCTGCATGGCTCAGTTGGTTAAGTGTCTGACTCGATTTCAGCTCAGGTCATGATCTCAGGGTTGTGAGATCAAGCCCCACGTTGGGCTCCTCAGTGGGTGTGGAGCCTACTTAGGCTTCTCTCTCACCCTCTCCCTCTGCCCCTCACCGCCCCTCACCTCTATCTCTCTCCCTCTCAAAAAAATAATAAAAATTAAATTAAAAAATTTTAACTTACTAGTATTTAACTTTATAGTTTTATTTGCTTAGTAACTTTTAATTAATTTACTTATAAAATTGTAACGTATCAATTATATGTGCAAATTAGCAATTTCTATGCATAATAGAATAATCACAATATTTTAAAAAATCAAATTTGTTATTTTTCTAGCAAAAGTAGAACAATTATAAAACTTCCTTAAAATTATTCTCAGTGAACTTAACTTTTAACGTTTTCTTGATGTGAGAAAATTTTTAACTAGATGCTAGGTATGCCTAGATCTTTAGATATTGTCAACAATTTCTTTTCAATACTTCACAGTCCTAACGATGGGTTGACTAGCTTGCTTATTTTATTTTATTATTATTACATTTTTTATTCCTCCTGTCCCTCTCTCCTGCCCTCTGGGATCGGTCGCCTTCCAAATAAATTACCTGACACATGCCTTTGTCTCAGGCTCTGCCTTTGAGGGAACTAGGCTAAGACAGACCTCAAATGTCACTTCCTCGGGGAGGCCTTCAAGACCCCCCCCCATAAGTCGGATGCCTGTTATCTGCTCTGACTTATATGCCCCTGAACTTTTTGTGTGTGTGAGAAATTAACTTTTAACTAGCTGGGAGATATGCAGTTAGATATTGTCAACATTTTTTCATTTCCATACTTGATATAACTAATGATGAACTGACTAACTTTTGTAGCTAAATAACAAACTGAGGGTTGCTGGAGGGGAGGGGGTTAAAGGAGGGCACTTGAGGTAATGAGCACTGGGTGTTATATGCAACTGATGAATCACTAAATTTTACCTTAATAAAAAAAAAGATAAATAACAAAATGTAAACTATTTTTATTTAATTCCAAAACCCCAAGTCACACACAAAAGCATGGAGAATCAAACATAAATGCCCACAAGGCAGCAGTGGTGCCTGCAGCCGCCTCTTACAATAAGACTTTGCCATCCCACAGTATGATTTTGCACCCATTGGGAGTGCACAGTGTGGAGCCTTCGAATGGGGTGGCTCTGTGACAGGACTGAAAGAAAAGGAGCAGGCGGAGGTAGGAAGCATGACTCCTTAGATGAGTAAACTCCAATGTGCACAGCTGAGCCTTTTCCCTCTGACGGCCGAACAGTTCTGAAAGTTCTAAGCTGGGATATATTATGTTTTATTCTGTTCTTAGCCAAGATGGAAAGAGATTATTGAAGAACCTGTAGTCTTCCCTTCCTTGCAATTATTTTCCTAGGAGAAAATAATTCTCCAAATCTCTACTGACCATTTTGGTTACTTTGAGTTTCTTTCATTAGTTTGACAAGCTCTTACTGAATACCCCTTCTTGCCTCAGAGCTTGGAATGCACTTATAAAAGATTTTTGATGAGTACCAACTGAGGATGCTAATTGACTCAGCTTCTGTCACTCCCACTTGTCTCATGATGCTCTGGGCCACAGAGATGACAGACCTGGCTGCAGTGAGTGGTCATCATGAAATTCAGTTCAGTAGCTTCCCTGTGAATAAAAGTAGAACTGGTTTATTATTATGCATTTATTCAGAACAATACTTTGAAGATAGTCACAGAGGTATGTTTTATTCTAGCAATCAGAAAACTTGTGGGAAAGGGAAAGAATATAGAAGGGAAGTTGGAGAGAAGGAATATCGTCAGGGATTATTGTGATTATGCATCACAGGTCTATGGACCTCTGTCTCGTCTTGGTCGTTTCCCTGACAACAATTCAGAGGACTTTGTGGTAAAAAACCACTATCTCAACACCTATGAAGGTAAGCAATTTACATAATTACAAGTCCAGTATAAGAGGAGTATTGAAGTACTAGAAGGGAAGTATTAGATTAAAGGCTAAATAGCAAATAATATTTTCAAGAGAAATAGCAATGAACACATTTAATGTTATTAATATGAGTTCATACAAATCAATAAAAACTCCTAAGACCCAAGTAAATAAATGGATATACTGGGGCGCCTGGGTGGCTCCATTGGTTAAGCTGCTGCCTCCGGCCCAGGTCATGATCCCAGGGTCCTGGGATCAAGCCCCGCATCGGGCTCCTTGCTCAGCAGGGAGCCTGCTTCTCCCTCTCCTCCCCACTCGTGCTTTCTCTCGCTGTCTCTGTCTCTCATTCTCTCTCTCAAATAAATAAATAAAATCTTAAAAAAATAAGTAAATGGATATACTGTATAACAATATAGCAGTGTTTAGCTACTAAACATTTAAACATGTTCAGTGTCACTAATAATTCCTCATTTCACAAAAATGAAACTGAATAAACTTTTACACCAGGTTTACAAAGTAAGCAAGGAATATATCATGAAATCAGTCTTTAAGAAGTGCTAGAAAACTAGTGGGCAAGAAAATGGATAACTAGGGGATACATTTATGGATTCACGGATTCATGGCCAAGATGATGAATTGATGGTGACAATGTTGAACTTGTAGCTCTGGCTGATCATCTCCAGAGCACAGTATGATAAATTGGCGTATATCCATTATAGAATGGTGGTCCCATGTGTCATATGATCACTCATTTTCTGTTGGTTATTATCACAGAACTTATTACTTTTGTGTAGGGAAATATTTAATTAGAATGCATTTCTTGGGGTGCCTGGGTAGCTCAGTCAGTTAAGTGTCTGCCTTCGGCTCAGGCCATGATCCCAGGGTTCTGGGATAGAGCCCTGCATTGGACTCCCTGCTCTGTGGGGAGTCTGCTTCTCCCTCTGCCCCTTCCCCTGCTTGTGTGCTCTCTTTTTCTCTCTCTCTCAGATAAGTAAATAAAATCTTTAAAAAAAAAAGAATGCATTTCTCATTTTATGGTCTAAATTACTGAGAATATGAGTTAATTATGCAGAAATTTGCTTTATACTTTGGGGCCACGTCAATTATGTGAACTATATCTTATCAATAATTCTAAATGAAACCACTTGGCAAATAGCTACTAAAATTAACAATATGTCTTCAAAGCGCTAAATTTAATCACTGAATACTAAAATCATGTACTTCCTTCCTGTAGGATTAGTTGAACTTGAGTCATGTCTCCCAGATTTTGTGACACAACCCCGAATCAGACCTCCAAAGCCAAAAGTCGCTACCACGAAAGCTGGTTTTCTCAAGAGGGCAGCAAGGATAGACCATGAGTTGGCAGAGGTTCATAAGGTATGATGCTTATTCGTAGACAAGATGCTGTTAGTGGGACTTTCTCGCAGTGAAATACTACATCTCCAAAACTGCAATGTCCAGTAGTTCTCAACACATAACTCTACATCTTTTCTCCTCTCCAGATTTTTATCTTCTGGTAGTTGCCAGTGCTATGTTGAACCAATGTTTTTTCCCCTCATTTCAAACCGTAGGAAAATCTGTTGGAGGCTCTTCTCCCCGTTTGCAGAAGACATGTTACTTCCTAAAAGTGGTTCTGACTTTGGATCTACATAATAAAATCTGACACTACATTGAGGTGTAGCAAGTTTCTAGTGTTGGGAATTACTGCTGGTTTTAATAGTGTAATAGGCCTCATTTTTTCCCTTTTAGATTTATTACCAGAGTATCAGGAAGAAAGGGAGTCACGTTCAAGTCCTCTCTAATCTGGTTTAAAGCTCAATTAAATGAGAAAGTGCAGTGGTTATCCCCATGAAACAAATACACAGCGTCCACCAGCTGTGCTTGCTTCCCTTTTGTTAATTGGACTATAGGTGTACAGACTCTAGAATTCACGATTTATGATCACGCTGCTCAGTCTTTAGCATGCATCAGAATCACCTAGAGGACTTGTTAAAACACATCTTGCTGAGCCCAACACCCAAAGTCTCTGATTCAGTAGGTCTGGGGTGGGGCTGGAGTATTTACATGTGTTACAAGTTTCTAGGTAATGCTGATCTGCAGGAACTACCCCTTGAGACTCACTGGTTATGACATAATCTCATCACTGGTCCATGAATTTGTTTGTTCAGCTGGTTTTAGTAATAGAGTAAGAATCCATGGGAGCCCATACTCATATAAAAATTAGGACCTTGGGGCACCTGGGTGGCTCAGTTGGTTAAGCGTCTGATTCTTGATTACAGCTCAGGTCATGATGTCTACTGGGCATGGAGCCTGCTTAAGATTCTCTCTCTTCCTTCCTCTGCCCTTACCCACCCCGCAAGGCACGTGTGCACTCTTTCTCTCTAAAAAAAAAAAAAAAATAGGACTTTGACAATCATTCATGTATATCTTTGTGGTTCTTTCCCACCTCATCCCCCTCTCCATTTACCCATTCTGAACTCAGTGTTCATTATTCTCACTTTCTGTAAGTTTTTTTTCAAATACACTTTATTAGGGTATGGAAGTTCTCTTCTATTCCTGATTTACTAAAGCTTTTAATCATGTGTTCATGCTGAATTTTAGCACATGTTTTGTCTGTTATCTATTGAGGTAATTATATATTTTTTCTTTTTAAAATTATTATAATAAGGAACATTTATAGTTTCTGGGGTTTTTTTTGTTTTTGTTTTACAATCTGTCCTTACATACTGGGATGAACCTAATTTGGTCAAGGTGTTTTATTTTTAATACACTGTTGGGTATTAAGGAGGGCACTTGTGGGCGCCTGGGTGGCTTAGTTGGTTAAGCAACTGCCTTTGGCTCAGGTCATGATCCTGGAGTCCCTGGATGGAGTCCCACATCGGGCTCCCTGCTCGGCAGGGAGTCTGCTTCTCCCTCTGACTCTCCCCCCTCTCATGTGCTCTCTCTCTCAAATAAATAAATAAAATCTTTAAAAAAAAAAAAAAGGAGGGCACTTGTTAGGATGAGCATGTGTGTTATATGTAAGCGATGAATCACTAAATTCGACTCCTAAAACCGATATTACATTATATGTTAACTAGAATTTAAATAAAATTTGAAAAAGAAAAAAAAACAATACATTGTTGGATTTGATTCACTAATATGTTTTTCAGAATTTTGATTCCATATTCATGAGTGAAATGGCCTTATTTTTCTTTCTTATTTTGACTCCGTATGGCATTGGTGTCAGAGTTATGCCGGTCTTCTGAAATGACTGCAGAGTATTCCTTCTTTTCTACTTTTGAAAAGAGTTTAAATAAGTTTAAGATGATCTATTTCTTCAGTTTGGTAGAATATTCATATTAAAATTATCTGAGACTGATGTTTTCTTCATGGGAAAATTCTAACTACTCCTTCAGTTTCCTTACTACTTACAGAACTGTCTGCATTATTTTGGTAAATTACATTTTCTTTCTTATTTTAATTTCTTTTTTATTATTTTTTTTTTTAGGGAGGGAGAGAAGAGGGGGGCTGGAGAGGGGCAGAGGCAGAGGAAGAGAGAGAAATCTTAGGCAGGCTCCATGCCCAGTGCAGAGCCCAATGCGGGGCTCAATCTCAGGACCCTGAGATCATGACCTGAGCCAAAATCAAGAGTTGGACACTTAACCGACTAAGCCAACCAGGTGCCCTGGTAAAATACATTTTCTTTGTAAAGTTTAATGCACCTAACTTTTCATATTTTTGACATATGGTTGTTGATAGTATTATTTAAAATCTTTTTAGTGTTTGTGGTATCTGTAATCATGCCTACTTTTTTCATTCATAATATTATTGTGCTTTCATTCTTTTTCTTATTCAGTTTTACTGGAGGCTTATTAATTTTCTTGGTATTGTTTTTCCAAAGAATGAAATTTTGACTTGTTGGTTTTCTCTACTATATATATTTTTTCAGTCGCAGTCACTCCCATTCATATATATCTTTCTTCTTTTTGTTTTGTAGTTCTCTTCCTAACTTAAAGTAGACATGTAGCTCATTAATTTTCAGGCACTCATCAGTTTTATAAAAGTATTGAAGGGTAAGCATTTCCTTCAAAACACGGATTGTGGTATAGTCCATTAGTTTTGATATGGACTGTTTATCAATATTAGTATCTAATTTGTTTTTAAAGATTTTATTTATTAGAGAGAGAGAGCGAGAGAGAGAGAACACAAGCAGGGGGAGTGGGAGAGGGAGAAGCAGGCTTCCCGCCGAGCAGGGAGCCCAATGCGGGGCTCGATCCCAGGACCCCGGGATCACGACCTGAGCCAAAGGCAGACGCTTAACGACTGAGCCACCCAGGCGCCCTAAGTTTTAACTCATTTTTGAATTAACTCCTAACTCCTTTACTTTGTGGTCAAGGATCCCTATTCTTTGAAACTTAGTGAGGCTTGTCTTGTGAACTAGTATATGAGTTTACATATAAAATAATGTAAGTCCACCTTCAAATAATACTCTCACTTTACATGCAGTGCAGGCCCCTTATAGCAGATTAGTCCCCATTCATCCCTACTGTCCCTGTGGCGTTGCTGTCATTCACCTCACGGATCCATAGGCTATAATAGCCCAATACATTCTTACTCTCATTGCTTTAACAGTTATATTTTGGATCAATTAAAAATAAGAAAAAACAGTTTATTTTACTTCATTTATTCTTTCTATGCCACTGTTCCTTTCTTTATAGAAATGCAAGTTTCTGACCTATGTCACTTTGCTCCTGCCTGGAAAACGTGTTTTACCATTTATTATAGGGAAGGTCTCCTGGCAATGAACTCTCCCAGTTTTTGTCTCAGGAAGTCTTTATTTCTCCTATATGATTATTTTAAGGTATAATTCACATACCATCAAATTCACTGTTTTAAAATAAACAGTTCAGTTGCTTTTAGTATACATATACACAAGATTGTTCAACCATCACCATTATCTAATTCTAAAACATTCTCATTATCCTGAAAAGAAACCACATACCCATTAGGAGTCACTCCCAATTACCTTCTTCCCCCTAGCCCCTGGCAACCACTAATCTTTCTTTTTCTCGATTTGCCTATTCTGGACATTTCATATAAATGAAATCAAACAATGTATGGCCTTTTGTGTCTGGCTTCTTTAACTTAGCATGTTTTCAAAGTTCATGTTATAGTAGGTACCTCATTACTTTTTATGACTATATGATATTCCATTGTGTGGATATATCACATTTTGTTTACCTGCTCATCAGTTGATACAGTTGGTAGAAATTTGAGTTGTTTCTACTTTTTATCTATTATAAATCATGCTGCTATGCACATTTGTGTACAAATTTTTGTGTGGACATGTTTTTCAGTTCTCTTGACTCTATACCTAGGAATGGAATTCCTGGGTCACCAGTTAATGGTTTTTCTTTTTGAGGAACTGCTAGACTGTTTCAAAAGTGTCTACACTGTTTTACATTCCCACCAGGAATGTTTGAGGAATCTGATTTCTCTGTATTTTTGCCATCACTTATTACTGCCCATCTTTTTTATTATAGCCATCCTAGATCACCCAGTGAGATACCTGGGTGTTATCTCATTGTGATTTAGATTTGCATTTGTCTAATGATTAATGAGTTTTAGCATCTTTTTCATGTGCCTTCCGGTCATTTGTATATCTTTTTTTTTCCTTAAGATTTTATTTATTTGAGAGAGACAACATGAGAGAGAGAGCAAGCACGAGCCAGGGGAAGGGACAGAGGGAGAGGGAGAAACAGGCTCCCTGACGCAGGGCTTGATCCCAGGACGCTGAGATCATGACCTGAGCCGAAGGCAGATGCTTAACCAACTGAGCCACCCAGGCACACCAGGTCATTTGTATATTTTTTTTTGGAGAAATGTCTGTTTAGATCCTTTGCTTATTTTTTAATTAGATTGTCATGGTTTTTTTTTTAAAGATTTTATTTATTTATATGACAGAGAGAGACACAGCGAGAGAGGGAACACAAGCAGGGGGAGTGGGAGAGGGAGAAGCAGGCTTCCCGCGGAGCAGGGAGCCCAATGCGGGGCTCCATCCCAGGACCCTGGGATCATGACCTGAGCCGAAGGCAGATGCTTAACAACTGAGCGACCCAGACACCCCAATTGGGTGGTCTTTTTATTGTTTATTATAGACATTACTTTTAATGTCTATTGTTGAGTTGTAAGAGTTCTATATATATTCTGAGGACTATACCGATGTCAGATATATGATTTGCAGATTTTCCTCCCATTCTGTGGGATGTCTTTTTACTTTGATAGTATCCTTTGAAACAGGTAAGTTTAAGATTGTGATCTTTTCAGTTTTGAATAATGATTTTATTGTGTGTAGAATTCTAGGTTGGTCGGGGCTTTTTTCAACACTTCAGATTTCACTCTACTCTGCATGGATGGTTTCTTTTAAGATTTTATTTATTTGAGAGAGAGAGAGAGAGAGAATGAGCAGGGAGAGAGGCAGAGAGGGAGGGGGAGGGAGAAGCAGACTCCCCACTGAGCAGGGAGTCCGATGTGGGGCTTGATTCCAGGACTCTGAGATCAAGACCTGAGCCAAAGGCAGAGGCTTAACTGACTGGGGCAGTCAGACATCCCACATGGATGGTTTCTCACTAGAATTCCACTGTAAATTTTATCTTTGTTCCTCAGTAGCTAAGGTGTGTTTTCTCTCTGGCTTCTTTCACACTTCTCTGTCTTTGGTTTTCTCTAATATTATATGCCTGAGGTGTTTTTGTTTGTGTTTTGTTTTGTTGTTTTTTAAGGTCTTGCTTGGTGTTCTCTAAGCTTTCTGGATCTGTGGGTGGGTGTTTGTCATTACTTTAGGAAAGTTGCCAGCCATTATTATTTCAAATGTTTATTCTGCATTCTCTCTTTCTTCTCCATCTGGTATTCCAGTTACACCTATTACTCCTTTTGATATTGTCTCACAGTTTTTGGATGTTTTGTTCTATTTCTTTGTTTCTCTTCTTTGCATTTCAGTTTGGGAAGTTTTTATTGACATATCTTCAAGTTCCTGGATTCTTTTTTTTATCTGTGTTGAGTCTACCAATGAGCCCATTGACAGCATTCTTCATTTCTGTTACAGTGTTTTGACTTCTAGGCTTTCCTTTTGATTCTTTGAGTTCTATCTCTGCTTTCATTACTCATCTGTTCTTGCATGTCATCTACCTTTTCCATTAGGGCCCTTAACATATTCCTCATTGTTGTTTTAAATTTTCTGTCTGATAATTCCAACATTTATGTCATATCTGACTCTGGTTTTGATGGTTACTTCTCTCTTTAGACTGTGGTTTTGTTTTGTGTTTTTCTTGCGTTTGGAATGCCTTTTAGCTTTTTTTGTTGATAGCCTGACATCTGTTATCGAGCAATAGGAACAGAGGTTAAATAGGCTATAGTGTGGGATTTATATTGATCTGGCTAGATGTTGGGTCGTGCTTAATGTTTGTTGTAGCTGATATTGTCAGAGGATTCACATTCTTTTATTGTCCTTGTTTTTATCTGTCCTCTTGGCTTTGGGATGAGATGCCATTATATGGAGTCTGTCAGTTTGGAATATTGGTTTGAATTAAAGAGAGTCATTAAACATTAGGTTTACGTCCAATGTATCTGCTTAGTCTTATGGTTACATTATTTTGAGAATCCAGACTCATAGAAATATGAAGATACAGGTGATATAAGGCTTAAAAAATACTATATGAGCTATGTCATAGTAATCATGGAAGAGAAATATCTAGAATAGTATAAAATAATTTCCACAGTACAGTATTTTCAGGCTATTCTTGGTATAATTTAGGTTGGAATATATTTTTGAAAAATTATTAAATTGCTTATGTCCTAAAGCAGATTAAAAGAGTGTACCAATGAGTTCTTTCTTCTGTTTATGAAAACCATGGATTGAACTCAGTTGCCTAACCTGTTTGTCTTTTAAGCATGTTAAAATGTATTGTTTGGTAACAGCATTTCCTTGATATTCTCATATTCATTCATATTACTGACCCCCCCCACCTCTCTCTCTGAGGGCTTTACCTTTCAAGACAGTAAGATTGAAGGAGTTCTCAAATATTTTTATTTGTTGGTTTATTATACTTTTCATTGGACTTATTGATCAAACATTTTTCTTGTAACTGTGAAAATCCAATTGCTTTTTTTCAAAATTTAAATTGTTTCTTTTATATTTAGAATTTATTTACTGACTGGGAAAAATATCCACATAGTTCAAAATTCATGAATCATGCAAGAGTATTAAATGTAAACCTTCTGTCCCTGTCTCCCAGCTATGCAGTCCTTCTTTGGAGGAAACCAGTGTTTTTTAGTTTCAGATCTTTCCTTCCAGAGATATCTTACAAGCAAATATATTTGTATCTATAGATCTCTCTGTACAAGCAAATATATTTGTATCTATATATCTCTCTACATGTAGAGATATGCACATGTGTATGTATATATTTAGAAATATATAAAAAATACAAATACCTGTAAGTATCTTCTTAAACTTTTTTACACAAATGTTAATATATAATATACACTGTTCTGTATTTTTATTATTGTGCTTCTATTATTTAATATATCTTGGAGATCATCCCATAATTGTGTTACATCATTTTTTTTGCACGATGTGTCATCATATAAATGTACCACATCTACCCAGTTCCCTCTTGATGGATATTTGTATTGTCCCAACTTTTTTGCATCAAAAATAATGCTGCATTGAGTAATCTTGTTTCCATATAATTTGGTACATGTATGAACATATCTAGAAGAAGATTCCTAGACATGAATTGCTGGCCCACAATATACCTGCATTTATAGTTTTGATGGCTACTGACAAATTTTCTTATATAAGTGATGTACTAATTGCTGAATGTGTGAGAGTGCCTGTTTTCCCAGATCCTCACCAACATATTATGAATGATTGGTCTTAAAATGGTTTCATGTGGTGCTCTTCAGGGCAACGCACTCAGGAGATGCCAGAGTTTAGAATTATTAGTTTTTAGACTGCTGCTGCTTCCTGGTGATTCAGTAGCCATGGTTATTGTAGGGGTGGTCTATATTAGAGCTGTTATGTATTTGGTGTCGGTTTTATTTTGTAGAAACTCAGGGGTTCTGTTAAAACCACAATAATTTCTTGTGGTTTCAAATTTTACTCCACTTGCCTATTTTTTATTAATTTCAAGTTTTGGCTTAGTGCTTATTTTATCACTTCTCTCTGTTGTCTGTGGGAAAACTAATGTAAAAATTATATGATGAAAACATGATTCTGAAGTATGATCTTTAAATGACAGAGATCAGACTTTTTTATATTTTTAAGTTAAAAGTATTTCCCTATGGATGAAAATAGAACTAATGAACAAAACCTTATGTCATATATAATTTGGGGGACTTCTGGTGATCAAAAGTAAAATCAATAAAAGTGTATGTTGAAATCAAAACACACACACACACTCTTTCACAAGGAAACAAGTTCATTTTCAGAAAACGTGAGGTGCAGGCCTTCATGGTTAAAGGAAAGCTCTTTCTTCACTAGGAGACAGTTGCCATTTAATGCTCCTCAGTTCCATACCAATATTTCCGTCATTTGTGACACAAGGAAATTTTCTATTGCCCGGGCACTTATTTTTAACAGCTAATTGGCTCTTGTGGAGGAATAGAGGAGTTGGGGGTTTTGCTTGCATACACGCAACAAAACCTTCTAAAATCTCAAAAAAAATTTTTTTATAAATCCTCCAAATCTTTGATTAAAATGGATAAACCTAGCTTATGTACCCAGTTTATTCAATGTTAGCTGATGTTTAGGGAGTATCATACCATCCCTTGGGTCATACAGGCACCCAGTTTTGGCCTTTCTCAAACTGTCCTAGCATAGCCATAGTGAAGATTATTTCTGATCGATATTCGATCTGTGGCCTAGATCGAGTAGTGGAAAAAAATACAAAGGTAATAAATGATGCTAGTTGGTGTTATTCCAGGCAATATTGGATAAGAAGAATAGAGTTCTTGAACCAAAGAAAGTTCTGCGCTTTCTTCAAAGAAAGGCTCTACCTCAACCTCGGCTTCCAACTCCAGCCTTGGAAATGAGTTCCAATGTAAGTTCGAAACTTTATTTGAAATATTAAATCCAGTATTGCTGTCTGTTTATTCTTATACTTTGGGCTAAAAACAAACCTAATTTAATAGGGTTACCTTTTCAAGATCTGACTTACATGGCATTTTTTCTTATGCTTCAAACATCAGACACACACAAATAAGCAAAATGAAATCTTCCTAAGAAAAATAGGCATCAGAAGGTAATCCTCATGCATGTCAAATAAAAAAAGACCAAATGATGATCAGTTACCATAACCATCTTGCCACATGGGGAGGTGGCTATGACAGCTGGAGTCAGAGAGGAGTGAAGTGCCAGAGATGTCATGAGGACAGGCTGGCTTCTGAGATAGACTGGCTCCAAGAGTTCACCCTGACCAGGGTCATACCTTACCTTCATAGATCTCCAAACTCAGTTTGGGCAAGGTACCACAGTCAGTCAGGATTTAGGACAGATTTGGACTAGACAGCCCCCCACCCGCCGCCGCCTCCAAGAAACTGCTAGAGATGCCACAGTACAGATGTACTGCTTGACAGAAGGATAACTGCCTGCCTGGTAGATGAGGATATTCTTCTTAGCAGCCCTTCTTCTCAGCCCACTATCTCCCAGTATAGGGCAGTTCTCACAAGACGCCAGATCCTATTGAGAATGTTGTGCTTTGTCAGAGGGAGGGATGTTCACAGGAGATCTCACTAGCGCTCCTGAAGGGTCACCTGTGTGGAGACATTGCTCCAGTACTCCCACTGACTGGCCAGTATGTGCTTCTGGACATCCCCCTTTCTAGACTTTGTCACTTTGCCAGTCACTCCCTGTGGTTAACACATTGTCTTGCATGTGTTTATGCTATTGATTTCTGTTGCTTTCTTTCGCATTCAGAGCCACTTTAAGTTGATTTGCAGGCTCTACTTTCTGCTTTTGACACATAGTTACTTAAGGTGATTTTTGTAGATGGTTAATCTTGTCCATTCTGATTTTACCAGCTTACCTAAATTCTGTGAGAAGCACCTTACTCTAGACTCTGACACAGACTAGCTGTATTCCTTGTCTACTCGCGATTAAACATGAAAAAACTATTGCAAAATGGATGTTATAAGCAATACTTGTTGCTTCAAGAAAGATTTTACTGGAAAGGAGTATAGAAAAATGAAAATGGCTTAATTTGTAGGGATAGAATGAATTTTTTGCTCTTGGTATGATTTTTTAATGATGTCTTATGATAAAAAATTTTAGCAATACAGTAAGTAACATTTAAAATACTGTATGTTCAATGAGAGTGTAGGCCTTATTTATTTCTCTTTCTGGTGTCTAGCACAGTCTCTTTTGCTTGATCTAAGTCTTCAAAAAACTATTTGAGGGGCGCCTGGGTGGCTCAGTTGGTTAAGCGACTGCCTTCGGCTCAGGTCATGATCCCAGGGTCCTGGGATGGAGCCCTGCATCGGGCTCCCTGCTCGGCGGGAAGCCTGCTTCTCCCTCTCCCACTCCCCCTGCTTGTGTTCCCTCTCTCTCTGTCTCTCTCTCTCTCTGTCAATTAAATAAATAAAATCTTTAAAAAAAAAAAAACTATTTGATGCTGACCGCTGCTCTTCTCAAGCTGCTTGGTTCTTACTTTGTTCTTTTAGGAAGAAGAAGATACAGAGATGGCTGTGATCTACCTTCAAAAGTTACTCCGGGGAAGAGTCGTTCAGAACACGGTGTGTAGGGTCCAACCACTGGTCCTGTGCTTCTCCTTTGAGAATAGATTTATAGAATGTATATGTACTCGGTTCCTTGGGGTGAATTCCCTCTTGCACCCTGCTGTCTGATGGAACTATATACTCTTTTTTTTTTTTTTAAAGATTTTATTTATCTGACAGAGACACAGCGAGAGAGGGAACACAAGCAGGGGGAGTGGGAGAGGGAAAAGCAGGCTTCCCGTGGAGCAGGGAGCCCGATGCGGGGCTCGATCCCAGGACCCTGGGATCATGACCTGAGCCGAAGGCAGACGCTCAACGACTGAGCCACCCAGGCGCCCCTGGAACTGTATACTCTTGAATTACCTACCCATTCCCTTCTACTGTCATAGTTTGTCCAAGTGGGTGGCAGTGTCAAGGAGAGAAAGGACCTGCCTGCTGTTTGTCACAGTTGTAACCAAGGCAAAGTGAAATTAGTACCTTTCTTAGAACCACTAAATCCACCAATTTTCTTACCTGAACTTGGACTTATTTTAAAAAAGTTCATTTATTTAAGTAATCTCTACACCCAACATGGGGCTTGAACTCATGACTGCCCGAGATCAAGAGTTGTGTGCTCTACCGACTGAGCCAGCCAGGTGCTTCTGAATTTTGACTATTAAGGCATCACAGACCAAGCGGATTCCCTAACTTTCCACAAAGTCATAATTATTTGAATTTGTGTATAGCTAGCAATACCTGAATAATAGATAGCTAAGTAATACTAACTAGAGTTTTGAACCCATACCATAAGCTCACATTATATATTCTGTGCTTTACATATATCATCTCATTTTTTTCTATCAGTTACCCCTTTTATAGGCAAGCGATGTGAGTCTGAGATTATATTACCTGGTAGCAAATTCAACTCTGGTCTTCCTACACTTGATCTTAGCCAAAAGGCCGAGAAGCGATCAACTCTGGTCTTCCTGACTGTAAAGCCTTCGCCACATTATTTGTGCAAGCACACTTCAATTTTAAAACGGACTGATTACAAAGCACCAGCAAAAAAAATTTTTTTCTTCTCATACAGCTGTAACTCATAAGAGACTCAGTTATAATTAGTATGTCCAGGGAAGCTGGGTGAGCATCTGTGTTCAGCATTATTCTCTACTCTTCTTGAGTATTTCCCCAGTAAAAATGTCACAACACATTACGTACTACAAACCAGGGGCAGATCTCTTGGTAGAGAAAGCATGGCTGTGAAAAATACCATCCTCGGGCGTCTTAGGGAAGGAGCACAGAAGATGAAGGGGAGGGTCTAGTTTCTTAATATGACCCTAGAGTAACCGCTTTGTTTTTGAGAGGCATTTTGAGAAACCGAGTAAACAACTGCTAAGTAAGCTCTTCCTCCACCTGAGCAGCGGGAGAACTCTCAGCTCTGGGGAGCACCCCTGCTCTGGCGTGAAGGCAGAACCGAACCCCCCGTTCGCGAGTGCCTCACCAGTCACTGCATGAGTCCTAGAGCCGCACACAGGGGATGCCAACTCGCAAGTCTCTTTCTGATTTGATTTGATACAGATGTTTGAAGGGAAGGAGAAGCGACTGGAGTTGATCCAGGAGCTGCGCACCAGCCACGCACTGCAAGAGGATGACAGGCTGCTGAAGAAAGCCGAGAAGCAAGTGACTCTGGCCTTACAGCGGCAGAGGAACTTGCATGAGCACAAGGTTCTTTCCTGTTCTTTCTCGTTGTGTTGTCTCCCCGGATTTTTATTCTTGCACAAGCGGCAGTATCACAACAGTAAATGAAATGACAAATACACCCCCCAGGCCCATCACTCTGTCACAGCCGGCATTTTTAAACAGCGCTGCCTCAGTGCAGAATTGGAATGGGGTGTGCCCTCACTGAACTGAATATGGTCTTATTTTATTTGCAAAAAAAAAAAAGAAAACCCCACATTTTAAAAAGGTTTTTCCTTCCAATTTTCTTAAATATTTGGTGATTCTACTGTATTTTAGTGGGAGCTCAGCAGAATGAAAAGTAATAAAAGCAAAAAAAGAGACATAAGATTTATTTCAAAATATCGGCACTTGTTTATGAGTTTTGGAGCTGGTTAAACTGCATATTAAATATGTTAATATCTCATGGTATTCTCTGACTTTCATCAGTCTCACCTGACAACAGCTGCTAATTGCTGCTCTACCCCAACAATTGTAAATGTTTTCCTATTTTCTTCTGGCATTTGTCCATGTATACAGTTTTTAATGTTGCTGACTACAGAGTAGACATGCTTTTACTATCTCTCCCACTTACCTGTAAATCAACATGAAAAAGAATCAATTTACAGAGAGTTTAGTGTTATAAGAAAGCTAATAGTGAAGTTAATATAACCCACCCTTAGTAACGCACATAACGCTTGTGCCATGTGGGACTGGGCACAAAGGGGTAAGCAGCTTGAAAATGAGCACATTATTCCTTTTACGTGACATCAGGCTTGTGGATGGTCTCTGAGTTTGGGGTTGATGGTGTAGGGGAGGGAAGAAGAAAGCCACAGGCTGTGAGACCCAACAGAGGGACAGAGAAAGAAGAACAGAGTCTCTGAATCTGGAGGTCTGAGGGTCCTGGAAATGATAGAGACAGGGCTGAGCTTCTGTTTGGATGCGAGCAGAATGCCCTGGAAGCACCAGGATAGAAAAATGCCCTCCTTGGCCCTTTGAAATTTCTGATTATAGACTTTATTAGCAGGTGCACCTAAGCCAGTCCAGGCTTTTTACCTCATCTGTCCCAGTTAGTAGGTAAATACTTGACTGATATCATGCGAGCTAAGAGCTAAAGGAGGAGTTAATGGAAAGAGAGCTGTCACTTAGCAAATGACTTGCCCTGCTTACCTTCCGCTGTACCTAGATACACCAATGATATGCAGGAGTGTGAGGGAGGGGGCACCTCACTTCTGTCTCCAGCTGATCTCTTCTTTCCTCCTATTTTCTATGGGGAATAGTACAGAAAATGCACAGTTCCCAATTTTGTAATGCACTGCATGATATGATCACAGAAAAATCACCTTCCTAAATATTTTTACTTTATTTTCGAATTAGATTATACTACCTTAGCATACTCAAATTTCTTGCTGAGGGAGGAGGCTGGATGTGAACAGGTAGCCATCTTGGGATTTTTAAAGGTTGCATCTGCCCCTCCAACTGAGGGAGCTTGTGATCCTGAGACAAGGAGAGAATCCGTAAATGTGAGGCACTCTTAGTGTGGCCCTTTCTTTCCACCTCCCCCATCATATAAGTAAAGCTGAACTCTGTGGTTAGGAAGTATGTGTGGGCTGGGAGGAGGCGAGGGAGGGTATTGGGGCTAACGTCCATGCTTGAATGACGGTCTCACATGGTAGCCTCACCACCTTTGAGACCTATGTGGGCTTCCTCCCTTCAGATACAAACCAGAGAAGAACCCAGCATAGCAAGAACTGTCAGGGCTGAGGGAGCATATGACTGGGAGAAGGGCCCTTTCCCTTAGACCTGAGGATAGGAAAAGGAACAAGATGAAGTTGCAAAGGATTCAATCTTCTTAAACACTTTTCTTCTCCATGTGTCAAAGCCAGGACAGATGGATCCATAAATAGATACTGTGGCTTATTCCTGCCAGAGAACTCCAGGCCCCAACTTAACCTCAGTGATTACATAGACCTGTAGGCTTTTTCCTGCTCTGTTTCAAAGATAGTTCTTAATGACTTTGAAGTTATTTAAAAGAATATAGTACCACAGTTTTCTACTTTCATGCTATTCAAGATCTTAGAATTCCCCAAACTTGTGTGAAAGGACCAAGCATTAAAAAATTAAAAGATGTCATGAGTGAATTTCTAGAAGACTCTTTTATTGAACTCCAGAAAAATTTTTTAATAAAAACCTTGACATTTCCCTTCATGTCTGGGAAGATAGAAGTGCCTTCTGGATAAAAATGAAAGAAGAAAACCAATTTGTGTGGATATTAACAAATGTTTTGCTAAATCCCCCTCATAATTTGAGGGCTGTAATCTGTCAGTGACTGAGCGATCCACTTTCTCATGTCTAAATTTGTATCATAAGTTTTCTTAGTAAGAGCCCTTGGGATGACGCCAACCTAGTGATAATATTCCTAATAAACACTGAGTGCATTCTGAAAGTGAAGTGATTGTCACGAGTTCTGGGTAATCCAGCATCCCTCCTTATACATCCCCATGCTTAGCAGAATTTGTATCCTTCAAAATTTATTATTATTTTTAAGGTCTCACTGGTTGAAAACCATTTGGCTGGACTGGAAGGAAGGGCGCTGGCGGACATGTTTGACTTCCTGTCCAAAGAGCTGGTGAGACTGCAGGAAGAGAGGAGGATCCATGCTTTTGCCATGCTGGCCGAGCGGCAGCGGAGGATGCGAGAAGCTGAAGAGAGTGGTCGGCGCCAAGTCGAGCAAAGGCGCCTGCGGGAGGAGGACCAGATATTTAAGGAGGCAAGTGGGGGCGCAGCTGGATGTCTGGAAGCTACTTGTAAGGAGCCAAATCAAAGCAGAGGAAACTCATGATATGAAATGGCACTTGTTTTTGTTTTTCATTGTGTTCTACAAATATGTATTGAGTTCCTACGATATGCTAGGCACTGTGGGATACTTCGGAGGGGAGAAACTGGACATGGTCCCTTTTCTCCTGGAGCTTAATTACTATCTAACATGCAAATAGTGTAGAATTAGAAAATATAGTAAGTTTCTTGAAGCAAACAGGTGGGCCCCAGTGACACATTTTAAACAGGTTACTCTGCTTGCTGTGTGGAGAACAGGTTGGAAGGAGGACAGAGTGGAAACAAGGAGATCAGGAAAGAGGGTGTGGAAGTGGTTAAGGTCAATGAGAAACAGGAAGAAGTCAAGGAAGATGTCCAGTTTCTGGCTTAAGCAACTGGGGAGATGATAGTACTGTTTTTTGATGTGGGAAAGCGGAGCATGGAATTAATTTAGGGGCAGGGGTGGAATCAGGAATTTGATTTTTATTAGGTTCGAGACATTCTAGTGGAGGTGTCATTTCAGCAGGTGGATCGACAAGATGGAATTTAGAAGAGAGGTTTTGGCTAAAGATATAAACTAGAGCACCAGGTTAGTAAGTTGGAATTCTGACCAAGACATAATGGGTATGAAATTCCAAAGTGAGCAAGATGTAAGTTCAGAGGAAGTTCAAGGAGCTAGTAATATCTCAAAGCACTCACCCTCATCAAGAATATAAAAGCTCAAGTGTTAAAATTGGCGGGGATTTATGAAGAAGATTCCTTTAAAGGGAACTGTGCTATGACTACCCATCCTACTCCCCAACACACACACACACACACACACACACACACACACACACACAACCAAAACACACCCAGAGGTTGGTTTCTTTTCCTGTAGTCATTGGCGAGCTTGATATGTATTCTTTCAGTTAGGGTGTCTGACCCCCTAAAAATGGAGAGGAGGGGAGCTGGGCCAGCTGGCTGCTTTGGAGGTGGGCACAGATGAGGCTGTATGGGTGGCTAGCACACCCAGAATATGTCAAGGCAAAGGCTGTGTGGGGGTCTCCCCTGGACCAGATGTGGGCCACACGGGAAAGACAGATAGAACCAACCTGGACCTTAAAAAATTTCCTGTCCAAGAGGGCTGTCTGAATTGTATGTGTGGATACTCAGTTAAAAAAAAAAAATGCATCCATTTGAGATCTTCTTACTTGATCTGAGATTTTCAGGATTTACCCAATTCTTACGGAATTAGGATTGATTCATGAATATTATTTGTTGTGTGTGTGTTTCAAGTTTTTTTTTTTTAACCAAACAGATTGCTCTCCCTCTACATAGCTTAAGAATTTTTGAGTTACATATGGTCAGTGGCAGATCATCTACAATGTGTAACAGTCTATAATCCATATTCTAGCTATTTATGATTGCATACTTAGGAAAACTGTAAAGAAAAGGGAATGTTTACCATAAAATCATGACAGTGGAAAGGATCTGTGGTCAGGAAAAACCCATAGCAGCCTTCTAGAATTCTAGCAGTGGCTGCATGGGTACTGGCTTTCCCCTAATTCAGTGCATAGTACATTTCTCACTGTGCACTTTTGAAAATGTGTGTTCTAGTTCACAATTTCAGAAAGCTTAAAAAAGCAGCAGTCCAGGGTATGATAGTTCAAAAATTCATCAGAGACCCAGGATCCTTCTAGCTTTCCACTTTTCTGTCCTTAAGGCATGGCCCTCATGGCAGTTTAAGATGACTTCTGGTGCTCCAGCATTATGTCCCCATGAAATGAGAAGTGAAAAGAGAAAAAAAGAATAAGCTAGGTTTCTCCCTTTAAGAATGCTTTCTAGATGCATGTGAGTGGCTCAGTTGGTTAAGTGTCCAACTCTTGATTTCAGCTGAGGTCATGATCTCAGGGTTGTGAGATTGAGCCCCGCCTCGGGCTACACGCTGGGTGGAGCCTGTTTAAGATTATCTCTCTCCCTGACCTGGTTGTGCTCTCTCTCTATAAAAAAAAAAAAAAAAATCCTTTCTAGAAAGTGAACAGATGACTTCTGCCTGTACTCCCTCAACCAGAACTATGGTTACTAGGAAATGTAATCTTTATTCTAGACATGTGTTGGTGCAGCTAAAACTCAGGGGCTCTGTTACAAAGAGGAAGGAGAGAAAGGACATTGGGAAATACCTCTTAGTTTCTGCCACAGTTGGGTAGTTTGACCAAGTCACATTGCTGGAAAGAACAAAGCCAGGATCCAAAATAGGGTTATTGCCTGAAGCCCATGATCTTTCTGCAGTGTTGTATTGCCCACCCTAAGTAAGACTCATAATTCTAAAATGGGTAGATGGATGGGGGCTGCCCAGAATGGGTAGGTAGGTGGGCTAGAAACTGACCAGACAGGAAAAAAAAAAAGAAAGAAAGAAAGGAATGATCAATGAGGGGACTATTGACTTAATGAAAGAAATAGGTCAACCAATGTTTGTTCATTTTTTTGGTCTTGTTTACAGTAGTAGTCCTGTTCTCAGTAACAGGGGTATTTTTATTTTTTGCAGGTGATTAAAGTTCACCAAAGTACTGTAACTTCCTATCTGGAAGACATAATACTGAATACTGAAGAGAGCACGGCAGAAGAACAAGCCAGGGCAGAAATTGAGAAGATGGCTGAGGAAATCAATGACATTGCTTATGAAATGGAAAGCCGGTTGGTACAAGAGAACAGACAGCAGAATGGACAGCCCATTTGCTGTTACTCATATGTATTTTCCAAGAGCTTAAGATTTTACCACCAAGGAGAAACAAGTATATATCTCCTGCTTCAGTGTCCATTGTTTTAATTGCATAACTCTTTAGAAGTCAACATGCCTAAACCTTTGTGAGGCAGGAGCGCTGGGAGTAGAATTTTCAGTTATCCTCTGCAGTCTGGATCACTAACATATTACTTTTAGAATACCACAAAGCATGAAAGCAATGTGAGTAATTACGTGCAATATTACTCCACCCCAAAGGTTTTGGCTTCTTGTATAAATTATATCTCTAACATTCCCTTCCTGGCAGGCAGGTTAACTGAAGAACAGGGTCAAATCTGAATCTGCATGAAGTTAACCAAGCCCACCAGGAGTATAATATTTCAGACAACTTAATCAAGGAAAAGGCAGTGGTGGGATTTGAGCAGTGGAGTCCCTTACACAAGCAAGGAGAACCTAAGTAGAAATCAGCAGCTCAAGGCAACAAAGGAAATAGTTTAATTGTTTTTCTTTATTTTTCAGTCGAACTCAGCTACAGTCAGAGGAGATTGTTGCTGAGTTGGTTTATAGTTTCTTGATCCCAGAGGTACAAAAGGACTTTGTCAAAGAAAAAGGTAAGCCAATGTAATGCTTCACTTTGAAAGATATAAACTATTTTCAATATCCCTGAGATTTAAAATGAGCAGAAGTATGAAGAAATTTCTGAAGGAGAATCACCGAGTTTTCTTATTTCAGAGCTTGTCAAGTTCTCTTCATGCTGTCTGATTCCAGAATATAATCACCTCTAGTATAGATGGGGTGCAGTTCTAGTAAGTGTAACAGAGTATCGAAAGCCAAACCTTCAAGAGGAAGTTCCCAAAAGAGGTGTATTTTGTGATTTTTTTTTAAGACATAAAGCAAATATTGACAATATGCAGAATTTTTAAACTGTACTAGCCTTTTGGAGGTGGGACACCTACAAAGTGGGTGTTGGAAAGCTGAGATGCTTGAAGGGCTTAAATCTATTCTGCTGCTCTTCCTGTGCCACAGATAACTTCTTTTTCTGCCAGGACTGTATCTAAGTATAAATATCTTCACTGACTTGTCAAAAGTGGCATGTTTTGAAGACTAATGCTTTTATTTTATTTTTATTTTTTTTAACAATTTTTTTTTAAGATTTTATTTATTTATTTGACAGAGAGAGACACAGCGAGAGAGGGAACACAAGCAGGGGGAGAGGGAGAGGGAGAAGCAGGTTTCCCGCGGAGCAGGGAGCCTGATGCGGGGCTCAATCCCAGGACCCTGGGATCATGACCTGAGCTGAAGGCAGACGCTTAACGACTGAGCCACCAAGGCACCCGAAGACTAATTCTTTTAGTCAATAGAGAAAGTAGAAAAATTGTCTTAAAAAATGTTCTTGGGGCACCTGGGTGACTCAGTTGGTTAAGCATCTGACTCTTGATTTCGGCTCAGGTCATGATCTCAGGGTCTTGAGATCAAGGCCCACGTCTGGCTCCACACTCAGCTTGGAGTCTGCTCGAGATTCTCCCTCTCCCTCTGCCCAACTTCCCCCCTCAAAAAGAAAACACCCCTGCCCTCCAAAAAAGAATACTTTTCTGGAGCTTTCAGGCTATTGGTGACAGACAGGTAACCAGAGAGAGAGAGAGAGGGGCAACCAGAAGATCAATATTTAAGTGAAATAACTTCCAGGGAAGAAGGCCAAGTGGGAAGATCCTAAGCTCACCTTGTCCCACGGTTACACCTAGATAACACCCACATCAGTGTAAATAACCCAGAAAGCGACCTGAAAACTGGCAGAACACACTCTCAACACCTAAATGTAGGGAAGAGACCACATCAAAAATGGTAGGAAGGGCGGAGACAGGTCAGGAACCAAACTGACCCATGACACTGTCCATGGGAGGGACACCACAAGCAAGAGAAAGGAGAGCAGCAGACCCTACACCAGACACCCCAGACACAGGGGACCTGTACTGGGAAGATGAATCCCCTTAACATTTGGCTTTGAAAACCAGAGGGGCTTAACCTCACAAGTTTTACAATCAGCAGGGCTCAACACCTGGAACTTTATAAATCAGCGGCTTGGCTCTAGGAGAGCCAGAGGGCAATAGGAATCATCCCCACACTTAAAGAGACAGCATAACAAACAGCCCCACTGGGATACATCATGGAAGCAGCAGTATGAGTGTATGAGAAGGTTTACTAATCTCAGAACATGTGCTAGGAGATTTCTTCAAAAACAAAAGTGCTGTCAGGGCCATTTATCTCCCTCAACCCCAGCCTAGATAAACAGATACCTACAAGGACCAGCAAAGTACACATACTCTCTCCACTTAGCTTACTAACAAAGTGCCCCATCCCCATGTTCCCCTTTGGATCTGCCTTCTCCCAACCACTCCACTTAGCAGGAGTTCATCTAAAGCAATGTCACAAACCTGGCATTATGCAGGCAGCCCCAGTGGACCAGCACCACTCCAAAGTGACTTCTGCCCCAAGGAGAGGGAAAAATAATCACACACACATCAGTTCAACTGTGAACCCAGCAGTGGGCAGATATCTGGTCTGACTGCAGGCCTCACCCACCAATGAAAGCCTACCAGGGGTCAACACAGGGAGAATGCCCTGTAGTTCATTGTGACCACAGCTCTGGCAAACATCTGGGCTGACCAAAATCAAGCCCATGGTGACCCCAGACTGGCCCACTAACAACACAGGGACCAAACCCTGCCCACAACAGGCAGAGAGCCTTTGCAGACAACTAAACTGAAGGCAGATATGACTCAGCCACAACAATAGGGCACACACAACACACATAGGAGATACCCCTGAATGCCAGGGTCTGGTGAACAGGGGACATTCTACTGCAGGGCACTATAGGATCACCTCTTCATACGTCCATGACTTTCAAGAGCCAGAGATGTAGCTGACTTTTATAGCACGTAGATAACAGACACACAGAGTTGGACAAAATGAGGAGACAGAAGAATGTGTCCCAAATGAAAGGACAGGACAAAAATCACAAGGAAGGTAAATGAAACAGAGATAAGCAATATACCTGATAGAGAATTAAAGTAATGGTCATAAACATACTTACTGGAATGGAGAAAAGAGTGAAGGACTCAGTAAGACACTCAACAAAGAGATAGAAAACATAAAAAAGAACCAATCAGAGATGAAGAACTCAATAACTGAAGTTAAAAATACACTAGAGGGAAAAAAATAGTACACAAGAAGAAGCAGAACACATCAGTGACTTGGAGGACAGAGTAATGGAAAGCAATCAAGCTGAACAGGAGAGAAAAAATAATAATAAAAAATGAAAATAGGTTAAGGAAACTCAACCACACCATCAAGTGTAATAACATTTGCATTATAAGGATTCAAGAAGGAGAAGATGGGTGGGGGGGGGCGGGAGAAAATTTTATTTGAAGGAATAATAGCTGAAATCTTCCCATATGTGGAGAAGGAAACAGAAATCCAGATTCAGGAGGCACAAAGCACCCCCATCAAAATCAAAACCCAAGGAGGTCCATACCAAGGCACATGGTAATTAAAATGGCAAAAAGTAGTGCTAAAGAAATTTTAAAGCAGCAAGAGAAAAAAAGTAGTTACATACAAGAAATGCCCTGTAAGACAACTAGCTGATTTTTCAGCAGAAACATTTCAGGCCAGAAGGGAGTGGCATGATATATTCAAAGTGCTGAAATAGAAAAACCTGCAACCAAGAATACTCCATCCAACAAAACTATCATTCAGAATAGAAGGAGAGAGGGTAGAGAAAGAGTTTGCCAGACATACAAAAGTTGGAGGAATTCATGACCACTAAATCAGCCTTACATGAAATGTTAAGGGGGACTCTGTGAGTGGAAAGGAAAGACCATAAGCAAGAGTAAGAAAAGTAGGATGCACAAAACCTGTAAAATTAAGTATGTCTATAAAACAAGTATGTCTATATTCACAAAATAAAAGGATATAAAGTATGTATGACACCATATACCTAAAATGTGACAGGGAGACTAATAAAAAGTTAGTGCTTTTAGAATGGGTTCAAACTTAAGCGACTAACAACTTAATATAGACTGGTATTTGTATAAGATGTTACATATCAACCTAGTAGTAACCACAAAACAAAAACCAGTAATATATATACAAAAAATAGAGAGGGGAATCCAGGTATATCACTAAAGAAAGCCAGCAAACCAGGAGAGAAAAAAGAGAAGAAAGGAACAGAGAAGAACTACAAAAACAACCATAAAACATGTACTTACTGATATTTGTTACTTACCTATCAATAATTACTTTGAATGTGAATGGACTAAATGTTCCAATCAAAAGACGTAGGGTCATAGAATTGATAAAAAACCAAGACCCATCTATATGCTGCCTATAAAAGACTCATTTCAGACCTAAAGACACATGCAGATTGAAAGTGAAGAGATGCAAAAGCATTTATCAAGCAAAGGGAAGTGAAAAGCAAACCGGGTTAGCTACACTTAGTTCAGACAAAGTAGACTTGAAAACAAAGACTGTAACAAGAAACAAAGACACTACATAATCATAAAGGGAACAATAATCCAACAAGAAGATACAATTATAAATATTTATGCATCCAACATGGGAGCACTCAAACACATAAAGCTGCTATTAACATACATAAAGAGAGTAATTGATAGTAAAACAATAATAGTAGGGGACATTAACACCCCACATAATCAATGGACAAATCATCCAAAGAATAAAATCAAGAAAACAGTATTTGAATGACACAGTGGACCAGATGGATCTAAGAGATACTCAGAACTTTCCATCCTAAAACAGTGAAATAGGCATTCTTTTCAAGTTCACATGGAACATTCTCCAGAATAATGTTAGGCCACAAAATAATTTTCAACAAATTTTGAAAGTTTGAAGTCATCTTATGCATCTACTGCACCTACAATGCTATGAAACTAGAAACCAACTACAGGAAAAAATCTGGAAAGAAGATATACACATAGAGGTTAGATAACATGCTACTAAACAATGAATGCGTCAACAAAGAAATCAAAAAATACATGAGAAATGAAATGAAAACAGTGATCCAAAATCTTTGGGACGTAGCAAAATCTGTTCTAAGGAAGATTATAGCAGTACAAGCCAATCTCAAGAAGCAAGAAAAATCTCAATCTAACTTTACACCCAAAGAAGCTAGAAAAATAACAAGCAAAACCCAAAACCAGAAGGAAGTAATAAAGAGAAGAAATAAATAAAAGAAATTAAAAAACAAGCAGTACAAGCCAATCTCAAGAAGCAAGAAAAATCTCAATCTAACTTTACACCTAAAGAAGCTAGAAAAATAACAAGCAAAACCCAAAACCAGAAGGAAGGAAGTAATAAAGAGAAGAAATAAATAAAAGAAATTAAAAAAACAAAAACCCAAAACCAGAAGGAAGGAAGTAATAAAGAGAAGAAATAAATAAAAGAAATTAAAAAACAAGAGAAGAACTCAAGGAAACCAGGAGCTGGTTCTATGAAAAGATCAACAAAATTGATAAACCTTTAGCCATACTCATCCAAAAAAAAAAAAAGAGAGACAGAGAGAAGACTCAACAAAATTAGAAAAGAAAGAGGAGAA